AAGTTTTGTTCTGCTACACTGTTGTAAATTCATAAAAGTTAATGTGTAAAGTGTGATTGTTTTGCAAACTGCTGAATGCCAAATCAGTGCAATTTAACTGCTTTCCCACTGTACCAACCCAAATCTGATGATTAACTATATACCACCATTTAGCTCATTGCTGAAATTGACACAGAGACTTCCATGAGAGATGCCTCTACTCATTCTAGGCTGCGTTTTGGACTTTGACCTTTAAAAAATATTAGTAATTATTAGAGAAAAAATAATTTTATTTTTTCTTTAATTACAGACTGAACCCAGCAAGGATTTTGACCTGCCCTTGAGAATTGCAGAGACCATACTGAGAAGTGTGAAAACAGATTTAAGTGATGCCCAGGAACATGCAGAATCTGAAGAAAATCCTCTTTCTCTTACCAGAGAGACTGGAATATCTGCATCTACTATTTCTCAAAAACTGCCAACTAAGAAAGTATCTGAAAATCGGAAGAGGAAATCTTCAGAAGATCAAGGCAAAATTGTGGACTCAAAAAGTATTATTGCTATAGCTCTAGAGAGGGAAACAAAATTGGGAAACAGTCGTGGCAAAGAAGTAATAAAAGATCTGGAACCAGCAGGCATATCATCAAAGAGGCCTGACCTGTCAGGTTTAGAAAATTATCCAGTAATAGAAATACAGGTATCTACTTGCAATATACAGACTGTTTCAATACATCAGTGTCAATAGTGAGTTTATTTAAAGTGCTCCAAACCTAGGTCTAACTATTTCTCTCAAACATTACACCCTGAGGTCTGGTCTACACTGGGGGGGCTCGATCTAAGTTACACAACTTCAGCTACGTGAATAACATAGCTGAAGTTGACATACTTAGATCCATTTACTGCGGTGTCTTCACTACGGTGAGTCGACTGCTGCCACTCTCCTGTCGACTCTGCCTGCATCTCTCTGCCTGCTGGAGTACAGGAGTCGACGGGAGAGCACTCGGGGATCAACTTATCGCGTCTAGTCTAGACGCGATAAATCAATCCCCGTTGGCTCGATCACTGCCCGCCGATCCGGCCGGTAGTGAAGACATACCCTAAGTGACTATTCTTTTTAAAATTTAAGTGAATTTCCTGTGATGGCTGTTCTGAGATATACATTGTGATGCCTGATGATAACTCATCCACCCTCCTCTCCACAGTGTTGAGGACTCTGTAACTTTTTTGTCGTATTTAATTTTTTTAATCACTTTTTACTTAAGTAGTTTCCATCTCCCTTTGAAAAGAAATTGACACTCAAGGCTAAGGCTATAAGGGGACATCTAAGTTTCATTTCAGGGGCTGACGCAGGATTCATGCTCCTGGAGTCAGTGACTTCAAGCTTTGAGAATTCCCTCCTTGGTTTTGCTCAGTAGCATGTATCCAAGAATGCTGAGTGTCTCATATCTTTAGAGAATAGCTATATGATATAAGTAGGGCCCTATCAAATTCACGGTCCATTTTGGTCAGTTTCCCGGTCACAGGATTTTTAAAATTGTAAATTTCATTATTTCAGCTATTTAAATCTGAAATTTCATGGTGTTATAATTGTGTAGGGATCCTGACCCAAAAAGTTGTTGTTGGGATGGGGGGTCGCAAGGTTATTGTAGGGGGAGTTGCGGTACTGCTACCCTTACTTCTGCTCTGCTGCTGGCGACAGCGCTGCAGATATAAGTAATTCTCTGTGGGGGTTGAAAGTAAATTTGGGTCTAAAACATGATCTTATCTATATGAGCCCAAGTGTGAATTTAAACCAATATGTTTATACCAGTATAACACACACACACCCATGTAGACACTCCAGTATGTGTGCCTTTTTTCAGGTTAGCTTATGTCGCTTGGGAAACGATTTAAGCTAAATCGAAAAAATCTACTTTTCTACCAGAATAAGTGTGTCCGAACAGGCAGTTATACTGATATAGTGATACAGGTATAACTGGTAAAACTTTCTCTTGTAGACAAGTTCTAAGTTCCTTATTTAATAACTAGGTACCGTGGAGAGGCATGCTTGCTTTTTCTGAAGGGGAACTGCTGTAGCTACTCTGAGCCAAATTTTCACCTACTCTTTCAGTTATAGTAATAATAATAGTGTGTGCACTGTTACTACATCTGTGCAAATAAACAGGCATTAGAATATGTAAAATACAAGTTAGTCTTCCAAATAACAGATCTGTATGTGCAGAAACTTGCTTGCATGCAGTTTTGTACTTGGAAAATTAGAGGTGGCTACTTGTAAAATATGATCAACAGTGTCTTTTGCTTAACAAAGCTTTTTAGGTGAGATGCAATAGCATCTTAATTTTATCTTTGTTAGTCTATGGCCTGGTCCACACTAACCCCCCACTTCGAACTAAGGTATGCAAATTCAGCTATGTTAATAACGTAGCTGAATTCGAAGTACCTTAGTTCGAACTTACCACGGGTCCAGACGCGGCAGGCAGGCTCCCCCGTCGATGCCACGTACTCCTCTCACCGAGCTGGCGTCGATGGCGAGCACTTCCGGGATCGATTTATCGCGTCTAGACAAGACGCGATAAATCTATCCCAGAAGATCGATTGCTTACCGCCGGACCCGGAGGTAAGTGTAGACCTACCCTATGTTAGAGCCTTAACATTAACACAGAATTTTGAAGATTTCTTGATTTATAGGGTTGAAGACTATGATTTTTGGTTGTCCGGGACATGTTCCCAAAGAAGTAGCACTAGGCAGGCAGCATGGTCAAGTCTAGTGATAAAAGCATAGGAAAGGGAGCCAGGCAATCCACAATTTTAATCTTAGCTCTGTCACTGACTCCTTGTGTGGCTTTGGGTAAATCATTTAGGCCAAAATATTCAAGCTTCAGTGCCCAAAGTCAGGCTGCTAAATATCTATGTAGACATAAAAAAAAGTGCTTTGATTTTCAGAGGGGCTTAGGACCCACAGCTTCCATTGGAAGCAATAATAGCTGCTGATGCTCAGCACCTCTGAAGATCAAGCCTCTTTATTAGGTGAATAAATAAGGATTTAGGTGCTCAACTTTAGGCACTAAAGTTTGAAAATGTTAGCCTTAATCTGTGTTTGTTTCACTGTTAGGCATTTATTTCCATTTTACAATCTCACAGAATTTTTATTTGGATTAATTTAATGTTTGTACACATTTTGGGTATTATTCATATTGAAATTTCTCATAGAACATTTTTTCTTGCTTACGTTTTTATTTAATCAGTCTTGAATAACTGTTCTGAGAAAATTAAATAACTGGTGCACTGTTGTAATATAAGAAATTGTTAATTAATCCCTCCTGGAAAATATTTTCTTAGTTGATTTGTGTTTTATGTTACAGTACCAGCAACCTATTCTTAGTGGAGACAAGTTTGAACCTTTTTTGAGACATGTAGGTAGAACACAATCAAGTGCACAGAATGAAAATAAAGAAGATCAAGAAGTGCCTATTTTCACTCTTCTGAAAAACAAACTTTCATGTGCAGAGATTAAAGAAGACCAAGATCCACCTGTCAAGGCATCTTCAACATTTGCAGCAAGAAGTGCAGATACTATTTTAAGCAAGAACGGTCAGCACCTGTCCATATTAAAACTTATAGAATCAAAAATGGAATTAGAGGAGGATGGGATTAGCGTTAAAGAAGAGTCCCCAACACAGGCTATAAGAACAGATTTGCCAGAGAAATGCAAAGAGGAAAGACTTTCAGAAACAGAAATAGTACGTCTAAACTCTTTTTTAAGTAAAACTCTTGAAGACTTTCTTATAGATAGACTTATAAAAGTAATAATGCTAAAATCTGTTTTAAGCAAAAATCTTGATGGGTTTGTCGCAGAGAGACTTTCAGAAATAGGGATAGTCACAAAGATAGAATTAGGAGAAGAATACCAGAACCTACAGAGTATTATAGATGGATCACCAGTTGTTTTAGAGAAAGAGTTACTTGAAAAAGGAAAAGATATTTCCAGGGAAAGGCTTTCAGAAGCAGAAATAATAAATTTAAAATCTGTTTTGAGTAAAAACCTGCAAGATCGTCTCATAGAGAGATTTTCTGAAACAGGGATAATCACAGATTTGGAGTTAGGAAAGCAGCACCAGAACCTATCATTGCAGGGAATTAAAGATAGATCACCAGTGGTTTTGGAGATGGATTTAGCTGAGAAAATGCATGATAGTTGTGAGAAGAGACCTTCAGAAATGGAAATAAATCTTAAATCTGTTGTAAACCAAAATCTACAATATCTTCCCATAGAGAGGCTTTTCGAAACAAGTCTAATTGAAGAGGTGAAGTTAGGAAAGGATCACAAAAACTTTTCTTTGACAAGGATTGATGAGAGACAACCAAACCCTGAGGCAGATTTATCGAAGAAGAGGAATGGTCAATCCAGGGGAAAATGTTCAGAACCTGAAATAATAATAAAATATCTAAGTCAAAACATACAAAACTGTGCCGCAGAGAGTCATTTACAAACAGGGATAAACACAGAGATGGAGTTAGGAAAAGAGCACCCAAACCACTCAATGCAGATCAGCAAAGTCAAATTGCCAATGGTTATGGAGACAAATTCACCTAGGATAGGACAAGATTGTCACAAGCAGAGGCTTTCAGAACAACAAATAAATCTAAAATCTGCTTCAGACAAAACTCTCCAAGATTCTCTCATAGAAAGACTTTTGGAAACAGAAATAATGAGTCTAAAGGATTTTTTAAACAAATGTCTCCAGGATCATCTCCTAGAAAAACTCTCAGAAACAGGATTAATCACAAAAGAGGAATTAGAGACAGTACATCAGAACCATTCCTTGCTGAACATTCTGGAAGGACAACCAATGACACTGGAGACAGAATTACACAATATAAGCCAAGTTCATTCTGGTGAGAGTCTTGCTAAACCACATATAATAAAAGGAGAACCTGTTTTAAGTGGACATATACAGGACTTCCTTCTTGAGGTACTCTCAGAAACAGAAATAATGAATCTAAAGTCATTTTTAAGCAAAAAGATCCAAGACCATCTTGTAGAACGACTCTCTGAAATAGGGTTGATCACAGAGGAAGAGTTAAGGAAGATATACCACAATTTGTTTGTGCTGAGAGCTAACAAAAGACTGTCATGGGATGTGGAATCAGATTTACCCGGGGAAGAGCAAAATCTAAGTCTAAAATCTCTTTTAACCAAAAACCTTAAAGATAGACTTTCAGAAACAAAACTAGTACATCTAAACTCTCTTTTAAGCAAAATACTGAAGGAAGATCATAGAGACAAACTTTCTGAAACAGAAATAAAAAGTCTAAAATCTGTTTTAAGCAACAACTTGCAAAACCTTCCTATAGAAAGTGCTTCAGAAACTGGGTTAATCAATGAGATAGAATTAAAGGGAGTATGCCAGAATGCTAAAGGAAAACCACTGATAGTTACTGATACAGATATACTTGAGATAGGGCAATGTCATTCTAAGCAGAGTCTTGATAAACTCACTATAATAAATGAAAAGCCTATTTTAAGAAAAGAGAAGTTAGAACTTCCTGTAGAGAATGTTCCAGGACAAGTAACGTGTGTGATGGCAAATCTAATCAATGAAACCAAAATCAATAGTGTAATACACCTTCCTCAAAAAAATACTTTAGAAAAAGAGAGTCAAGATCCACAAAGTTGTTTTGGTAAAGCAGAAGTAGCATATTCAAACACAGATTTTGACAAATCTTTAAAACCAAAGCCCCCGAATGAGACTTTGAAGGGAACACATGAAACAATAGATTCACCTTCCTTACGTGCCCATGATATTGCTATCCAAACAGAACTTAAGGAATATCTCTGCAAACCAACACTGTCCTTTCCCGTAAACCCTCAAACATTTATCTTTGTACATTCAGGGTCTGATGAAGAAACTAAGTCACCGAACAAGTCTCATGAGAAGTCAAAAGGCAAAAAAAAGCATGCTAAGCGTTCTAAGAAGCACGTTGCATCATGCTACACACCCCAGGGACAAGTATTAATGTGCACACAGTTTAAAAAGGAAAAACATAGTTTGAATAACTGTAAGGAGATCTTAAAGGAAAAACATAGAAAACATTCTGAACCACCACCTCCAAGATCATGTGTTTCAGAAGCCAAGAAGGATTCAAAAGACTCAACAGTCTCAAACATTTTGAAAAAGGAAAGCCTGAAGCAGAAAGCTGAGCAAGAAAGAGAGAATGATGGGAGACCAAAGAAATCACTTAGCAAGTCTATTAAGATACCAACAGCCACAGTGTCTGAACCACAGCTACAGCACTCTGAAAAAGCATTGCAAGAAAAATCATACGTGAGTAGTTTCCATTTTACTGGTGTGCAGAAGGAAATAGACCTGTAAGAATAATAAGTTTCTCTCAAATTTCCACCTCATGAATGTCTGAAACAGAAAACTAAATACATGACTTTCTAAATATCTGGAGGCAGAATTATTAGTACAGTGTCTCTTCATAAACTGATAGCTTCCAAGTAGGCAGGCCCGACACTGAAATCATTGTTACCCTTCTGTCCTAGTCCTCTTTCCCCTCCCCCCCCCCCAAGTGTTTGTAATGTCATCCAAATAGGGAAGAAAAATCAAAACTAAATACCTCACTCTTCTAGCTGTTCTTCACCTTCTCCCTGCCAGGGAATTCAAAGAAAACCAGCATTTCAATTCCTCTGGCATGTTAGTGAAATAATAGTGAATAACTATAAATAATGTAGTAAGTTTACTAGAGAGTAAATGTAGCCTCTAGTCTACATTCGCAAAGGGGGATTTTGGCAGTTTTTTATAGTTTTTGGTTTGCCTCAGGCACTTAAAGACATCTAAGAATTTGGAATTTGAGATGTTCCTTTTACCCACCCTATGTTCCCTGCTTCCAGTGGACATGATAAAGGATTATGCCCCATTGAAGGGTACATGACCAAGGACTGTAATACCCACAAGTCCTTCTCAGATAAAGCCCAGAAGCACCAAAAGACACTCTAATCCAGAATCTCCACCTGCAGAGGCTTTGGGGGTGAGAGTATGGATGACTTTTTCCTAAAAAGGTCTCTCAGGCATGTGTAGTGTGGCTGGTAAGCCTCCCTCAGTGCCAAGGCCTGAGTCAGACCTCCAGGCTGAAAGGGAGCTGTCTCCTTTAAAAGCTCCCTTCACCTATTCTCCCAAAGGTGAGGAACGGTCTCTTTGATTTGTTTGCTGGGATTGACTTTAGTGGAACTGCCCAGGTGAGTAAGGTCTGAAGGTTTGGGCCCTGTTGTATTAAGTTAGATGGAATATATGAGCTACGTGTTAACATAACCCAATCACTGTCCAATATTAAACAATGTTAAACAAGGTTCAGGTTTTGGTATGCAGACACCTTAGCCTGCTTGGTACCATAGCAAACAAACCATTAAAAATCCTTTTAAACCTTTTATTAACGATATGGAAAAGGAGGAAAAACAGGTAAAGCATTTGAAATATAAAGTATTAAGTAAGACTTTTACTTTAACAACATTTCTTTGTTCCCTTTCCTTTTAGCTGGAGAGAGTTTTAAAAGGACCCTCCTTCCCCCCTTGTTTGACAGTCTTTTAGATGGTATTAAGGATGGAATAACTGTTCTTTTGGGTAAAAAAAGTTAGTTGGGCTGGAGCTGCTGTTGTTAAAGTCCAATCTCATTTTATTCCAGGTGGTGTCTGGGATTTACCTGGAGCTAATAGGGGTGGATGTTTCCTGGGTCCTTCGCTCTGGCCTGACCTGATCAGGACATCTCTTAGGATTAGGACGATGAAAGCCTGGGGTCCCAGGAGGTGGTGGCAGGGCAGCCATGATAGTGAAACTCATTTCACTAGGCTCTGTCCGTTTTTCTGTCTTCCCCTTCAAAAGCCTCTTTCTTTAAGGACCCAAAAAGGGAATGGTGGGTGGAATAGCCAATTCCCTCCTTATTATGTCCACCAATTAGGCCTAATATTTGACACACTAATTTTGGTTCAATTAATTTTTGGTTCCACATTTTCTGTTTTTTTTACTAAGCATGATTTTAACTCAGTCCTTGAGATATATTGATGTGGCCTTTTTGTTTGGACTTAGTTTTTTTGATGGATTTTTTTTTTGCACCTGTTTGTAACATTAATTATTAAAAGCAATTTAACTTACTTTTTATTAACATTTGTTGTTATAGGTTATTGTAACAGTTTATGAACTTTTATATACTTTTTCCAGTTAAGCTTACAATTAAAGTAAATTTGTAGGCCCAGTTATTAGAACAGCCCTCAATACTGATTCAGTCAAAACTCCAATTGACTTGGTGAAATTTGCTCTAAATTAGGAAAAACTTGAGATATTTATGGGTTGCTTAAGGTTACATTTTAAAAACATAAGTGAATAGAAGAACAGGAGTACTTGTGGCACCTTAGAGACTAACAAATTTATTAGAGCATAAGCTTTCGTGGACTACAGCCCACTACAGACTAACACAGCTGCTACTCTGAAATAAGTGAATAGGTGAAAGTTAGTATGGCTTTGTGAAAGGTAAAACTGGAGCTTGCCTTGTATAACTAAGAGGAGAACTTGGTCATTGTATCGGTTAGTTACCTTCTGTCTAGATCAATAGACAGTGAAACGTCTGGCTGAGAACAGAATGTAATCCACTGTATTAAAACAAATATTTGGATGTTTGTATGATATGTACTAGGTTATTACCACCAAGCCTATTTCAGACATTAGGGCCTACTCTCTCTTTCTGTTTCTATACATTTGTGTCATTTTTAACATGTCTTTTTTTATTACTGTTTTGTTACATTTATTATATCTATCAGGGTACTCACTACTGAAGAAGTGGTTGAAAGAAGTTGTTACTCACCTTGTGCAGTAATGATGGTTCTTTGAGAGATGTGTCCCTATGCGTGCTCCACTGTAGATATGTAAAATATCCATTAGCTTGTGGTGTGACTCAGTCACCTCTTGTAGTGGTATCTGTAAAGCTTCAGTCCTGGAACAGTTTGAAGTCATCTGCGATAGATGGTGGAGGGGGCATCACTGTCTCATCACTGTCATCATCTGGCGATAATGATGAGATGGCATCACTGTCTCATCTGGCGATAATGATGAGACATGGACTTGAGGGGTAACTTCCTCCTCAACTCCTCCTGTTCCTCCCTTGCCTTTTTAGGGGATTCAGAAGCACTTGCAGCAGCTGGAGGAGTGTGTTTCCTTGGTTTCTGGTAGGCCACACTAGAACTACGGGAGGCCTGTTGTCTTTGAGCCTGCGAGGGATCTCAGTATAGCCATTGCGAGGGTGGGAAGGAACCCTGTGGTTGGCACCATGGATGTCCAAACCAGGGAGGCTGTGGATCAAAAGGACGATATCACTGAGGTCCATAGTGAAATTGGGCACCATTTGGCAGGTGAGAAGAGCATTGGGAGACCACATCCTCTTTCTGAAAGTTCACTTTCTGACTTGGAAGACGAAAAGGGCGGTGCACAGCAAGAAGTCATCGGCGAGTCAAAGGCTCTGGGTGAACTTAGTATAAGGGCCCTGGTACTGAGCAGAGGAGAGCCAATGCAAGAGACACCGAAAGATCTGTTACGCACTGGAAGTCCGGCTGTGCCAAAGGTGTTGGTACTAGTAGTGGTTGTCGATGCTGAGAGGCCTGTACCGACGGGGACGGTGATGTGGACCTCATAGTATGGTCTGTTGGTGCCTGATGTACCACAGGTGGTAATGATGTCCGAACTGGTGGAGCCTTCCCCGGGGCAGATTTTCTGTCTTTCTCATACCCTGATGGTACTGGTGGTTCCTTATCTATGCCCACTGGGTCCTTGGGCAACCTGACATACTCTGAGTACTGGATTAAGATGACTTCGGTGCCATGGGTACCAATGATACTAATCGAGCTGGAGGTAGTTTTCAACTCAATGGGGACTTGCCATGGGACTCAAGGACCTTTTCTTAGAGGCTTTATGTGAGTAGCTTACGAGCGTCTTCTTGGGTTCACCTCCCTTGGAAGTAGAGAGTTGTGGTGAGGTCTCCCTGCCACAGCTGAGGTGGTTGAAGAGATGACTCCTTGCGTAGGAATTTGAGCCTCAGTTCTCTGTACTTTCTGGATCTGGGCTTCAGTTGTTGACACAAACCACACTTCTTCTTTGAGTGCTTGTTCACGTCCATTCCAATCAGGTGTGCGCACGTGCGTGTAAGGCAGCTGGAAACTTTTTCCCCTAGCAGCATCCGTCGGGTCGGCCTGGGCACCCCCTGGAGCCGCGCCTTCATGGCATTCAATATAGAGCCCTGCCGACCCACCACCCCCTCAGTTCCTTCTTACTGCTGGTGACGGCTAGCTGGAAGAACCTGTTGCTCTTGCTTTGCAAGCATGTTTGGACAGTGTCCACTCTTAGTGTTTGTGATGTTGCACTCCATATGTTTATGGAAATACGCTTATGAATGTAAATATAATGTAACTGGAATATGTTTTATGCAAAAGGTCTCTTGTAAGGTATCATTACAAAGCTTATAATCTACTAAGTGTGTTCATCCTATTTGTATGAAGGATCATTCTTGTATCTGAAGCTAGAAATATGAAGTATTACTCTGAAGTCCTATTGTAACTATGCAAAGTGTGGGCCATTAATGGTGGCTTAGAATCTTGATGGCTCCCATTAACTAGGGCAATTGTTGGGAAATAGCTCTGTTTACTTATAAGCCTTCCTGTATACCTGGGTGCCAGCCAGCGAGTAATGAAGTCTCACAAGATATGTGAACATGTCACATGATATTGGAATCCATCTTAAACCTGGTGCTTTTCCATTTAGAAGGAAGGGTGGGAACCCAGAGAGAGACAAAGGATTCCCATCTTGTGTCAAAGATATAAAAGGGGGGTGGAACAGAACAAAAGTGGCTGCACTCATGAGAAAACCCCTAGTTATCACCTGCGCTGGAACTAACAAGAATTGTACCAGGGGAAAAGATTGGGCCCAGACTAAGAAGGAGTCTAGTCTGTGAAAGAAGCTTATTGGAACATCTCTGAGGGTGAGATTTACCTGTATTCAGTTTCTTAAATGTATTAGGCTTAGACTTGCGTATTTTGTTTTATTTTGCTTGGTAACTTACTTTGTTCTGTCTGTTATTACTTGAAACCACTTAAATCCTACTTTTTATACGTAATAAAATCACTTTTGTTTATTAATTAACCCAGAGTAAGTGATTAATACCTGGGGGAGCAAACAGCTGTGCATATCTCTCTATCAGTGATATAGAGGATGGAGAATTTATGAGTTCACCCTATATAAGCTTTATACAGAGTAAAATAGGTTTATTTGGGGTTTGGATCCCATTGGGAGTTGGGTGTCTGGGTACTGGAAATAGGTAACTTGCTGAGCAGGTTTTGGTTAAAGTCTGCAGCTTCGGGGGCGTGGACCAGACCTGGGTCTGTGTTGCAGCAGACTATCATGTCTAGCTCAACAAGGCAGGGCTCTGGAGTCCCAAGCTGGCAGGGAAAAACAGGGTCAGAGGTAATTCCAGCACATCAGGTGACAGCCTCAAGGGGATCTCTGTGACTGAACTGTCACTGTGTTTATAGTTAGTTCTCAGTAGTTTATTAGTGTTAGTTTAGTATTAGTAGTTAGGTCATAACTTTCCGAGACCACTTGATAGGGAGACGTGTATCAGTTATGACAGACAACACCACAGCGATGTTCTGTGTCAACAAACAGGGGTGCACGTTCCTCTCCCCTGTGCCAGGAACACAGGCCAGGGGTGCACGTTCCTCTCCCCTCATGTTGTGGGACTTCTGCGTAAAGCACTCGATACATCTGCAAACACCGTACCTCCCTGGAGTACTTATATTGTTGTTGTTACTTGTTGGTACTTCCTGCAATACACATATAGTCTCTGTAATTTTATTCTTTCAAAGTGCTGCTGTTTTAGTTTTTTGACTGTCTATGCATTTCATAATTTTATTTCTCTCTTATGGTTACATTGATTTCTTTGAGGAGTGAGTTCTAAAATGCCTAATCTGTCCTGGCTGGAGTAATTATCATTATTACTGTTGTTATCATATTGTGCTTTGTACCACTTTAAATAATGAATAACAATCAAATAATAGTCTCCTCCTAGAATGTAACTTTAGCTTGTACTCACTTTAGTAATGCCAGTTTAAAAAACATTAGCTAAACACATAACTATAGACACTGTGCAGATGAAGGTTTCTTATTTTCAGATTGTATTTTTAGTTATATCTGTAAAATAACTTAACATTTGCATGAAAATAAATGCAGTTTTAGTTATGATACCAATAGCAATGATGGAGTCAAATGTTAGTGAGTCACATACATGATTGTGATTGGTAAACATAAATGCCAAAATAATTTAGAAAAATTAATTCCCTTTCTTAATAAAAGAGGGGAAAAAACCTTAATCACTTATGTCAAAATTATGTTTTAAGTGAAAAACAATTCACTAAAATAGAGGAGATAATGGCAGTAGCACAGTGTGTCTGTTAGAGAAAGTAAGCAGATTTTATTTATTTTTATTTATCTTTACTAAAGATATTGTACAAAGTATCAAATTTGTGTTTCTTATATCTGCCTTAAAGCTCCAGAACTGATACCTCAAGGCTTGGGAGTGGTAATGTCTTGCTGTATTATCTCTTGATTGTTCTAAATTTACATATAAACTTTAAACGTGGCTTTAATTGGCATTTGTATATATTTTTTTCTTTCTTTATATAACAATTAGATACTGTCAGCTAATTCCTAAGTTGTATCTGCAAAAACCCTAGAGTTTTCAGGTGCCTAAGTAGTCTCTGGAATCATGGTTAAAGTTTCCTCTACCCCTCCCCCGCATCTGAAATGGTGCCCCAGGTGAGCCAGGAAGGCCATGGGCTCTGGCAAGATGCAGCCCATGTGTGACAGTGCGAAGCCCGCTTTGAGCCACATGCGAGCATCGGGCACCACAAGTCACAGCAGGAGCGCAGAAGGTGGCAATACACCATATGCCATGCCACCCTGACTTCTGCACTGCTGCTGGCAGTGGCATTGCCTTCAGAGTTGGGTGCCCGGCCAGCACCCGCCAGTATCAGGCCACCCTGCCAGTGCTTAATTTGAGCCACGTCTGAGCTCTGGCATCCCTTTCAACGGGGCCCAGAGGTGATGGGGTGGGAGAAGCCCCTGGAGCCCGTAGGGGCCAGGATTGATGGGGGCGCTAAAATACAAGTTTGCCCAGGGTGCCATTTTCCCTAAGGCTGGCCCTGTCCTTCTACATCGAGAGAATAAAGCCGTTCCAAAAGTCCGTCCAGTTATTCATGGCAGTGGTGGACAGAATGAAAGGTCTTCCTGTTTCCTCTCAATGTATCTTGTCATGGATCACATCCTGCATCTGTGAGTGCTACAACCTGGCAGGTGCGCCTGCTCCCCTAATCACTGAGCTCAGGCCTCTTCAATGGCCTTCCAGGCACAGGTTCCCACCCAGAAAATCTGCAGAGCAGCGACATGGTCCTCCATCCAAACTTTCACAACGCACTACGAGATCACCCAGCAGGCCAGCGTTGATGCGGCCTTTGGAAGAGCAGTGCTCCCATCAGTGGACGACTCTGACCCCCCTCCTGAATTTGGGCTTGTGAGTCACCTGATTGGAATGAACATGAACAAGCACTCAAAGAAGAAAAAACAGTTACCTTCTCATAACTGTTGTTCTTTGAGATGTGTTGTTCACGTCCATTCCAATACCCACCCTCCTACCCTGTCAGAGTAGCCGGCAAGAAGGAACTGAGGGGGTGGCAGGTTGGCAGGGCTCTGTATTGAACGCCATGAAGGTGCAACTCCAGGGGGCACCCAGGCCAACCTGACAGATGCTGCTAGGGAAAAATGTTTCCAGCTGCCACGCACACGCGCACACACTTGATTGGAATGGACATGAACATCACATGTCAAAGAACAACAACAAGAAGGTGAGTGTGACGGGTTGGATCACAGAAACCCCCTTGGGGCTGCCAACTAATGTGCCAAAACTACTACTGTCCCTGCTTTCCTGCCCTGGCAGCTTGGGACTTCAGTGCCCTGCCTGGTTTGAGCCAGACCCGCTAGCCTGCTGCAAACCCAGACCCAGGTCTGAACCACGTCCCCTAACATCTGTGGGCTTAATTGGAAGCAGCTTAAGAAGTGTTCCTGTCTCTAATACTCAGATGCCCAACTCCCAATGGGGTCCAAACCCCAAATAAATCCGTTTTACCCTGTATAAAGCTTATACAGGGTAAACTCATAAATTGTTCGCCCTCTATAACACTTATAGAGAGAGATGCACAGCTGTTTGTCGCCCCCCCCCCCCCCGGTATTAATACATACTCTGGGTTAATTTAATTAATAAATAAAAAGTGATTTTATTAAATACAGAAAGTAGGATTTAAGTGGTTCCAAGTAATAGCAGACAGAACAAAGTGAATTACTAAGCAAAATAAAATAAAACATGCAAGTCTGTGCCTAATACAGTAAGAAAACTGAATACAGATAAAACTTCACCCTCAGAGGTGTTCCAGTAAGCTTCCTTTTACAGACTAGTCTCCTTCTAGTCTGGGTCCAGCAATCACTCACACCCCCCTGTGGTTACTGTCCTTTGTTCCAGTTTCTTTCAGGTATCCTTTGGGGTGGAGAGGGTATCTCTTGAGCCAGCTGTAGACAAAATGGAGGGGTCTCCCAAGGTTTTAAATAGACTTTCTCTTGTGGGTGGAGACTCCCTCCTCTCTCCTAGACAAAGTCCAGCTCCAAGATGGAGTTTTGGAGTCATATGGGCAAGTCACATGTCCATGCATGAGTCAGTTTTTACTGGCAGAAGCCATTGCCCACATGCTATCTTGAATGTCTCCAGGAAGACTTCTTATGTGGATTGGAGCCTTCCAAGATCCATTGTTCGTTAAGTGTTTCTTGATTGGGCACTTAATTTGCACATTCCTTTCTCAAGAAGCTGACCAAATGTTTTACTAAGGGTACTTAAAAATCAAGCAAGTACACAGCCAACATTCATAACTTCGAATACAAAAATGATACATGCATACAAATAGGATGAATAGATTCAGTAGATCATAACCTTTACAGAGATATGTTACATGGCATATGTAGCATAAAACATATTCCAGTTATGTCATATATACATTCACAAGCATATTTCCATAAAGTCTTAGGGGGTGCACCGTCACAGTGAGTAACCATTTTTTCTGTGGAATGCGTTTCTCTCCCCGGTAGCGAAAGCACTGAGAGTGTCCATCAGTCACTGGGATAAATTCCTTGCAACCGCGGCACTTCTTGAAGTCCAGGGAGCTGGGAATACCCCCCCACTCAGGGGGTTGACAAAAGAACCAAGTCCTTTTCTTTTTCTCCTTTTTTGGGGGCGGGGGGGCAGACGCACCTACAGTGGAGCGCCCATAGTGACACTACTCAAAGAAGAAGCATGCTGTGGATTTTGGGGCCATTTCATATCACTTACATTTTGAGAGCTTGATTTACA